GTTACTGGTGCCACCACATGAATTTGAATGTGCTCTAGAAGCCCGAAGGCTCACCAGTCAGAATAATCCATTTGGTTGCACAAATGACCATGAGCTCTCTCACTCATTCTCCAGAAAACATTGGGCTTTATTTCTCTGCAGGAAAGAAAGGTAGTACTGAATTAGAGTTGGGATTTTGAATCATGACAGCTCCTGTCTCATTTCTCCTCATCAGAAACATCTTTTTTCTGCACTGGGGAGAATTGCTATGGATTAGTAAAAGTATAACTAGCTTACAAGATTATTTAAATAGAAACAATATATGTGAATCGCTGGAATAACTGGGGAATCCCATGAAAACCTCATTCTATCCATTGGTTTCAAATATCTCATCAAAAAAGATTGTATGAAAGTTTTGCAATCCATCATCATCTGGTTCCTTACCTTGGGTGAATTTTTGAGTGAATAATAAAAATAATCCGAAATCAGGAAGTGAAGCAGCAGAAGGATTAAAGGTCAGCCTTTGAATGTAGAGTCCTAGGCACGGATGTGTGGTTGGTAGGACTGTGTGGGCCCATAAGGAGGAGACGGGAACACCGTTGCAAAAGCAGGACCTGGAGAAATGATGGGTGCAGGCACTCCTCAGTTTAGTTAAAAGGTAGAGCACAGGTGAGGATGTGGCCCTCACCTGGGCTTGCCCATAGCCTGGAAGTCCACATCACAGCACTCACTGATGAGTAACATGTGGGCTTTGGGGCTTACTGGTGGCATGACCTGGGGCATGAATTTAATTTCTCTAGTCTCAGTTTCCATCCATCATTTCCAGAATGAGGTTAATGACAACAGCTTCATCACGAGTCTGTTGTGCATGAAGAGACACTGGTGAGAGGTCTTAGCACAGGGGTGAGCGTGGGGGAACGCTCACAGACTTCCACGGCCCCTGCTGTGTGTGGCATTAAGGCCCTCATGAAAAATGGGTGTACGGTCACTTCTCATCTGGGCATCCCATCACGTGAATGGTGTAAATGCTTTAGATTTTCTCCTATTTTGCTTATTTAGCAGGTCCCTAGGGGCATCTGATTCCACAGTCATATTAACACATTGCTCTGCCTCAGTGAAAAAGCCTTAAAGGAGATTGCATCCAGATTTCGAGAACCCTCTCTGCCACTAGATGTCGAGGCTGGCAGTGAGGACCTGAGCCGCCAGTGCTGCATGCGTCTCCCCTCCACGGCAGTGTCAGGTGTCCAGGTAATCAGGGTGACAGCTGTCACAGGCACACAGATGCAATTGTGTGTGCCATATCTGTCCATTGATTTTTGAGATTAACTCCAACTGCTTTCTAAGGAAGTTCAGATCATGAGATGACAGATGATGGCCATGTATTTTAAAAATAAAATAGAAAAAAAAATAAAATAAAATAGAAATAACTGCATGCCCATTTTGAGGACACTCAGCACCATCTTAGTGGTCTAATTATCGACCAGACCCTGTATTGTTGTAAGCCATCTGTGCTCCGTGCCGCGGCCCTGACAGCATGCAGCAGCAGCCCAGGAGAGGGCCAGGGCCTTGTCGTGGAGGCGGGGGGGCTCATACATGTTCTCTGAGCCAGTGAATTTCATCATCTTTAAGGCTGTTTGAAATAACCTTGTTACGAGAACGAGTGCTAACTGTGCATTATGGAGTGAAGGAACATAGGGGTCAGGAGCTGGTCATGAGATTGGAGTAGGGCTAGGACTCATGGTAGAGCACCTGGCGTCCCCATCACATCGTGTCGCCCTTTGATTTAGAACAGGCTAGAGTGAAGACTTTATGGGATCCAGTAGGCGACCTGGTTGGTTTGTGTTCAGGGTGGGGTGGTAGGCGGTGGATCAGATGTGATTAACGCCTTTGCTGCATCTGCAGGGGAGTAGGAGTAAAACACAGGAAGTAGTTGAGAGACCTTCTATGGTAAGTGGTGGCCTGGGTGCTTCCGAATGGCAGCAGAAGGCATTTTAGGAAAAGGAGGGAGCCCCCCAGGGCTCTGTGGTTAGAATTGGTGAGGCCTGGATGTTGGCCAGGATGAAGGGAGGAAGCACTCTGTGGCATTGTGGGTGTGGAGCATGCAGGGGGCTGCAGGAGGGGAGCTGAGGGTCCCTGGGAGGAGGGGGCAGGCAAGTGGGCCTACTAGTGCCTGTCATCCCCACAACCTCACTGGTTTTAGGGCCGGTGCCCCTCTTGGTGAGAGGTGCGTTGTTTCCTGCACACAGCCGCACACACATCCCCCTTCATTTACGCTGCAGCCTCTTGGGTCTTCGCATGTGTGTGCGCAGACCTGGGGTCCTAGGAGTCTCACCAATTGATGCCCGCTGTCCAAGCCCATGTGGAGCTGCCTGCTGTGCTCATCTTCAGTGCAGGGCCAGTGCAGGCTTGCTTTTCCGAGTGCAGGCTTGGGGGGGAAGGCTGTCTGGGTGACCAGGGTTTGTGGCCTCACAGTCACTGGGAGGCCCCTGCACACCAGCCACTGACCATGGCCTTGGCAACGCGCAGGCACATGTGCAGGCACAGCATGTCCTGAGTGACCACAGGAAGAGGGTGGCCTGACAACCGTTGAACAGGGGTGTCATGGAGGAATGGGCCTGTCGGGGGCACCCTCATGGCATATGCGGCAGCAAACCAAGCCTCATTTCTGCTACTCCTCACCAAGTAATTGTCACCTGGTGGGCCATTTTCCTAGACCCACCTGTCATTCATGTCCGGGCTGTGCACCTGCTGCCACCCCTTAACTGAATCTCTTTGCTTGGCCACATACGGGTACTCCTCCCCTCCATTCAAACTTCTGGAGACAGGAGGGCACGGGGCTGAGACCTTGTAGCCCGGTATTCTGTGCACACCTGTGCTCTGCTTGCTGGATGCTCGGGGCCCAAACCTCCATCCAGCACTGGGAGGCACCCTGCCAGTCCCCGGGGACATCCAGGGGTGGGGCGGGAAGGAGTAAGTGAAGCATGGGCCATCAGCAGGAGGCAGCACATACACGTCACTCGGGGCACTGCCAGAGAGCATTTGCAGGGTGTCTGCCTGGGGACCCGGGCACATTCTGGTAGCCACACCTTCCGCAGGCGTTTCCCAGCCAAGACCCCCTCCACACAGACAGGATTTCTCCGGGCGGCCCCTTAAGCTATTTCATTCAGGAGTGTTCACATGCCTGACCCGGGTGGACCCCTCTGGGCTCCCACGGTGACCTGGGCATGACCCTGCTCGTCTCTGTCACTGTGAGGACAGCACCCAGATGCATCACATCAGGCCCTGTGGTCTCTCGGGCGATCGTCAAGGCGACATGTGCAGGGCCTTCTGTCAATGCTGCATCTTGGACCCCTGCTGCCCCGTGCCCACTGCGGGCTGGACAGTGTTTCGGGACCGGCACTGCCTGGGTGCAGATCATGCTCCTTCCTGGGGAACAGGCAGTGGGAATGGGCAGGAAAGGAATACGGCAGGTCCTCCTGCTCCAAGGGCGACAATTATTTTTTGATTGTCCTCTTGTCAGCTACGTGGGACTCCTTTAAGAACTTACATTTTAATGATTTTATTTATTTTTTATTTTCTGTAAAGATTTTTATTTATTTGAGAGAGAGGGGGAGAGAGCATGAGTGAGCAGAAGCAGGGGGAGGGGCAGAGGCAGAGGAAGAAGCAGGCTCCCCACAGAATAGGGACCCAACATGGGGCTCGATCCCAGGACCTGGGGTCATGACCTGAGCTGAAGGCAGACACTTAACCCCTGAGTCACCCAGGCACCCCCACTTTAATGATTTTAAATGTCAAATTTTTGACATTTTCTCGCGTACTCACACATCTGTGCTGTTAACACATCCATCACGTCTGCTTGTGTCGGTGACCAAAGCCTGAAGCCCACACAATGAAATGAAAGCCTTACTGTCGCGCTGCCCTGAGTCCACACAGGAGCCGGCCTCTCAGTTGGGTTGTGGGGCTGTGGAGGGAAGAAGATCCCCAATGCTAAGGCCTCAGTGGCCGCTGTCCTCATGCCCAAGGTCAGCGGGGCCCGGACCGGAGAGCCGCCAGGTGGGCAGCAGATGCAGCAGGCGCAGGTGGCAGGCTTGGCTGTCAGAGTGTGGTGGGGCCGGGCCTCTGGGGGCAAGCCAGGAACTGAGGGGTGGGGTTGGAGTGGGGGTCCCTGAGGCCAGGCCAGGTCCTGCGTGGGCTTCTGGCCTGGGGGATGTGTGCTCAGGAGTGCCCACTGGCCTCGTCAGGCCCATTCAATCCCTTCTGCAGATGCTGTCCACCCACCCTGTGCTGGACCTGGTCCTGGGGACAACAGCCTTTAGAGGCGCATGGGCAGGGGCACTGGAGCTGTGGCCTCGCTCTGGCCCTGCTGGTACTGCCAATGCCGAGATCATGGAGGAGGGCTTGGTGTGGCTGTGGGTGGGACTTGTTATAAACCGGGTGACACTGCTGACCCCCTCTCTGAGTTCCCACACATCATACGGCTCTTTCCCTGCACGGCTCCCTGAGGCTCTAGGGCCTGGGGCTCATCCCCCCAGAGCACACCTGCCCCCCTCAACAGGGTCCCTGCAAAGTGTCCCCTGGTCTCCCCGTTTACCTCTAAATGTATCCCATCAGGTCTCTGTCCTCAGGACATCACTCATTTTAGAAACAAGTCCATTTAAAATTGTGTTTCCTTTGCATCTTTGAAGCCCACCCTGGATTCTCAGCACCTGCTTCCCTTCCATCTCCTTTCCCCTCCCCCTCCCCCCCATTATATTTTTTATTGAAGGCCAAGCTGAGCCATTGCAGGATCATGGGCCCATTACGCCCCTAACAATTCCATTTGCACTGTATTGTTTGTCTTATTGCTTGGAAATTCAGGTGATTCATCATGCCTGAAGAAGCACCTGATCCCAGCTGCCCCAGGAGCCTGGTCACTATGTGACAGGAATGCCATAGGCGCTGAGGCGGGGGGTGCGGGGGCACGCGGCTTCTCAAGTGTTGATGAGTTCCATTCTGTGACGCTGCCCCCGCTCTGTCCACAGCCCCCTGAGCCCAGGAGATGGGAAGGAGCTGCTGGTGAGCGTCGCGCGTCTCCTGGAGGTGCCGATGAGCGTCTTCGCAGACATCACGTGAGTGCCGGGCACGGGGTCTTAGGGTTTTATTCTCCACGCGCATCAGGTTCTGTTTCATAAATTGGTTTGCAGGGGAAAGAACTGTGTGCCTGGGGTTCTTGTTAATTATATCAGAGAAGCTGTTCAGGAGAGAACCAGAAGGAGAATTCTAGGTGGGTTTGGTGAGTTATTTGAGCACAGATGATACAGGAGCATAATTGTAAAAACTATAATCTGGAGGGGCAGTGCCCACCGGAGCTGTGGTTCTCAGCCTTGCTGCACCTAGAATTGCCTGGGAGGCTCTAGAACTTTCCAGCCTGGGCCCCACCCCACTGCAGATGAGTCAACCCAGGGAATGGCACGTGTCCATGAGAAGTCAGCACTATGGAGTACCTACAGCGTATGTACTCTGCCATGTGCTCCCTGTACCGGGTCATCGGAGCACGACCAGCCTCTCTGGTCATCAGAGCACAGGTTGTAGGCAGATTTGATGACACTGGAGGCTTGGGGTGCTGGCCCATGGCACATCAGCCATGAGGGGCCACTGCCTCCACATTTCTTGAGGAATGCACAGAATAGGAGCAGGTGCCTGGGAGAGGAGCAGGTTGGTGCATAAGTGAGTGTAGGTGTGGACAGACCAGCATGTCCCAGGTAGGGGAAGGGGGGTTCTGGATGTGGAGGTCAGTCCAGAGGGGAGCGTGGGGATGGATCTGTGTGTGAGCCAGGACCACTCAGACCTGGAAAGAAGAGGCTCAGCTGAGTTGTCTGTTGATGTGGATGGCTGGCCTGGGGCCTTCAGTCCTGGAGGTTCATCTGACCGTCAACAAGTCTTGCCCACCCACCTCGCCGCCGGGGCCTCTGCACACCCTTCCCCGCTGCCATCAGCTCCTGTGTGGTTCATCCCCTTTGAGTAGGAAGGAGCCAGAAGCTGGGAGAGAGGAGCTAAGGCCAGTCCTGGACTGAACAGGACCCCAACTTCACATCCTGGGCTCCTTGCAGCCGATAACTGTCCAGCCCATGTCCACCTACTGAGGGTAGTTGGCCCACGTCTGCCCTGGCAAACATGACCATCTGCATACTTTCATTCAACAAACATTCATGGAGCACCATGCCAAGGTTGAGCAGAGAGCTGACATTCTAGCAAAAGCATATGCAGAGTGGAGCTGGGAAAGATCAGGCAGCCCTAGTCCTCGTGGGAACAAGGGATAGAGGCTGCGGGGCCTGGGGAGCTGGTGCGCAGCCAGGAAGGCCACCCACAGGCAGGAGGGACAGGTGCTCTGTGCGGACAAGCAGGGCAGCTCAGGTGGCCCCTGGTCCTTTGTGAGCCTGTCCTTCTGTGGGCTGGGAAGCCACCGGGAGCACCCACCGGGGGAACATGTGTCCAGCTATGTGAACAGTGGATTACAAGGATGCGGCGGAGGCCCAGGGACTTCTAGCTGAGGGCTGGTGATGGTAGACACCATCATGGGTGTGGGCAGTAGCTGTGAGGTTGGGAGACATCCATTACCCTGTCTGGTAACACTGCATGCCAGTCACGTGGGAGCCACTCGTATTCCCACCTGTCCTCCCTGATGCCCTCGAGAACACCCTGTGTCAACGTGTGCTCCTTTCCATGCAGAAGTCCCTGCCAGGTGCACTCATGCATCTAGGCACTGCCCATCCCCATCCGACCCTGTGGAAGGGGCTTGGCTGTTGGACATGGGCACTCGGCGGCTTACAGCCCTTGGCGGCCCATATAGGTCCTGTGCCCGGGGCATGGTCTCTACAGTGTGCGGTGAACAGGATTGCACAGGCAGAGCCAGGCCTGACCTGGTGGCACTGGCTGGCTGTTCCCTGCAGAGAAGCAGAGGGAGGTCTCCTGAGTGTGCCTGCACCTCCCACGTGGCCAGTCGTCTATAGCGTCCACTGGTGACCTGAGGTCAGGGGTCACGGCAACCCCTGGCACGTGTTCACATCGGGCACCTAGTGCCATGACTGTGCCTGCAGCAGAGTGAGGACTTGTGGAGCCAGGCCTGGCCTCCACAAGTAGGGGGGCGCTGCTCACCCCTCGGTCCATGAGTAGGAGACGCCAGGTCTGGCCCCTGCCTCCATGGGCTCAGGAAATGCAACTGCCACGGAGGGAGCAGGCAAATGAATGAGAGCCACCACCATCAACGGGACAGAGGTCATGGGAGCCAGGAGAAGGGGTAACAAGACACGTCTCCAGGAGGAGCTTGGGGAGCAGCCAGGGTAGCCCAAGCATTTGGACGATATTGCTACAGCTTAGGCCACGATCGAGAACGTTGGATGCAAAGTAATCGGGCAAAGAGGCGTTAGTGTGAGCTTTGGCAGGGCTGACTTGGTGAGACTGCCAGGGAGGGGATTCGTTGAACCATCATTATTTTCCCTTTGCCGTCAGTGCCAGCTGTGCCAGGCCTGGTGCCTCCTGGAGGCGGCGCCTTGCTGCTGCTCATTCCTTAGACATGCCCGTATGTTCATGCAGTGGCCCAGCCCTGTGCTGCAGGTGTCGCAGGTTGTGGAGGGGGGAGGGGGAGGTGTGTGCAGAAGAGGCGGGAGCATGTGGGCTGGGGGGTCTCTGGACGTGCAGCTCTCCAGGCCCGGGAGGCCACCGCGCTGGGGCCAGGCTGGGAGTTGGGTCAGGTCAGCCGCTGAACAGCCCAGGTCCAGTGTCTATGCCCCTAGGGCAGCAGCAGTTGGGCGTTTCCCACTGAAGGAAGGGGTCACCACAGACAAGGAGACACAGTGTCCAAGGTCCAGAGGACATTTAGCCCTGGATGGGGTCTGGATCCCTCCTGATTCTACATGACCTACCTGCCACCTCCCTGTCCTCGTGTACTTAGCCAGAGCCTCAGGGCAGCAGCCGAGGGCAGGAGGGCAAGTCAGGCTCCTGGAGGGGCTTCCGATGCAGGCTGGGGGGTGGGGGGTGCCCTGTGGGGTGTCTGGTGGGGGGTACCCCACGGGGTGTCCTGTGGGGTGCCCTGTGGGGTATCCAGTGGGGGGTGCCTAGGGCAGGGGCACCCTGTGGAGTGTGTCCTGTTGGGCGTCTGGTGGGGGGTGCCCTGTGGCACATCTGGTGGGAGCTGGCTGCACTCCATCTGTCCCTGGCCCGTAGCTGGGTCTGCTGCTTGCTTACATGTCTCAGCCCTTTCCCCCTGCACCTGTGTCATGTCTGAAGATGATGGGGACACAGGCTTCCAGGGAGCACTTTTGGGTGGAACTGGTGACCCAGCAGGTCTCCTGCCGCAGTCTCTCCCTGGTCAGAAAACAGGGGGCTTCCTCCGTCCCATGGGGACCTGACAGCATCACCCGGTCTTTGAGCTTGTGTGAGATAGTTCCGTAGCTCTCGGGTGAGCAAGACGCCCAGGGATCCTTTCCCCAGCCCCGCCCAGCACAGGGAGTCCCCAGTGTCCCCTGCCGTCATGTCTCTCACCCATCACGGGTCCTCCAGGTGCCAGGGGCTTCTCTGCAGCCCTAGTTTTCCCCGTTACTGTGGGTGCTGCAGCTCTGGCCTGTCCTTACTGTACATGCACATGCACATGCGTGTGCTTGGTACCAGCTGTGCTCCTGGGCTCAGTGCACAGGCCAGAGGGGGCCTGGGGCCTCGGGGAGGGGCCACTGCATGGCCCACACCGGGGCATCCACGGACACGTTCTCAGGGCTGCCGGCCATTCCAGGAGAGGAGAGGGGCTGCTGCGCAAGCTGGCACTTTCAGAGACCGTCTGCATTTTTATGGAAGCACCAGTGATACTTAATATGTTTTGTTAATGGTTATGTAGCTGTCAAGTAAATTCCATTATTTCTTATTACATCATTAGAGACCATTAAAACAGCATTAGCATGCTGATGTAATTACGCCAGCAGACACACCACAATCTCACTTATAATCTTATAATCTAATCATAGCTGTCCATGGCGGTTCTGATGGATGGTAGTCCGCTCCCTCCAGGCTCGTTGGGTGGGCGGTGCCTCGGGGATCCATAAGGAGGCTCCGTGGTCGGTGGGGGGGGGTGCGGTGTGGTGTCCACACTCCTCCTCAGGGGCTCAGCAGAGCCCTCAATCAGCCCCGAGAAGGCTCGGATCAGCCTGGGGCACTGCGGGAGAACAGCCTAATCCTGTGATCAATCTTCCTCCATCTCTTGGTGCAGGAAGCAGTTTAGTTTCTCATCTGCATGATCCATGGACTTGAGGAAGACATGGCATTCTTGTTTTTCAAGATGGTTGCTGTAGGAGCGGTAGTGGGGACGCACAGCCCTGAGCCTTCTGGTTAGGGCCTTGGTGCACAGGGCCAGGGCGGGTGTCAGCCCAGGTCGGGCCCAAGTCCCAGCCATGCAAGGCCTCTTAGTCCTTCCTTCCCAAGCTGCCCCTCCACACACACCCATTCACTGGTGAGAGGATCCGTGGGAGTTTCTGTTCCCCAGGGCAGAACTCGGCTTATTTGGCTGCCATCTTGTCTCTGATGAATGAAGACTTTGGAGAAAGGGTCAGGTTGGCCTTGACCCCCCACTGTGTTGCGGCCCAAGTGATGACAAAGTTTTGGATACTTTGGGGAGTGTACAGGGCACTGCAGTGACAGAGGCAATGCTTGGGATAAACAAAGATCACCCACAGCCAAGTCCCCAGCAGTAAGGCCTGCAGCCCCATGGGAGGCCCAGGGGAGGGGATTGAAGCCCTGCCAACTGCCCGCTGCCTGCCTGTGCTGCTGATTGCAGGGGGACATTCTCACCTTGCTCCACTTGCTCCAGGTGTTTTCCGGGATGCTACCTTAGGAAAGCAGAGATGGAGGGCCTCCTGTTCGGGAGTCTGGTCTTCCCAGAGCAGGAGCACAGGCTGTGCCCTGTGTACACGCCACAAGACTGCCAGGGTCCCTCAGAGCGCTACACATGGTGCCCCATGGGCCCTGGGGAACGTCATGGTGTGTCAGAGCTGCCCTGTCCCCCCCATTAGACTGAAGACGAGAGTGTGGGCAGGGCGCATGGGCAGGTGTGTTCACAGCTGGCAGTTGTCGGGTGACAGAGGGC